GCCGCGGGGCGGCTGGGCCTGTGAGCCATGGCCGCTGAGCCTGCGCGTCCGGAGCCTGTGCTCCGCAACGGGAGAGGCCAAAACGGGGAGGGGCCGGGACACCCGAAAAAAAAAAAAAAAAAAAAAAAAAAAAAAAAAACCAAAAAGGTATTAACATTACTAAAAGAGCTAAAGTGTAGCTTTTAAAATACTAACATTACTAAAAGAGCTAAAGTGTAGCTTTTAAAATACTTACGTAGCAAGAGCAGAAGAGCAAATATTATAAGCGCGATTGCTGCAGGTCCGAGGCCAACGTAGGAGTCATACCTCATTCCTACACAGCCACCGCCTTCCACACACTTGCAGACTGTGAGTTTAAGGACTTGCTCTTCAGGGCAACTGAAGCCTTTACTATCTGCAATCAGCAAGTGAATGTCACTCCTCCCGAGCGTTCGTTCCTTTTGTTGCAGTAGCACGCTGGTACCTGCAAGGACAAGATAAAAAAGGAAATAAAAATGAGTGATTACCAAGGAAGGGCAAGATTAAATTACAGAAACATTCTTTTTTAAAATTTACTGAGATATAGGGACTTCCCTAGTGGCACAGTGGGTTAAGAGTCTGCCTGCCAGTGCCGGGGACATGGGTTTGAGCCCTGGTCTGGGAGGATCCCACATGCCGCGGAGCAATTAAGCCTGTGTGCCACAACTACTGAGCCTGCGCTCTAGAGCCCATGAGCCATAACTAATGAGCCCTCTTGCCACCACTACTGAAGCCAGCGTGCCTAGAGCCCACGCTCCGAAACAAGAGAAGCCACTGCAATGAGAAGCCCGCGCACCGCAACGAAGAGTAGACCCGCTCACCGCAACTAGAGAAAGCCCGTGCGCAGCAACGAAGACCCCACAGAGCCAAAAATAAAGAAATTAAAAAAATTTACTGAGGTATAGTTGATTATATTATATAAGTTTTAGATGTACAACACAGAGATTCACAAGTTTTAAAGGTTATACTCCATTTATAGTTATTATAAAATATTGGCTATATTCCCGGTGGTGTACAATATATCCTTGTAGCTTATTTATTTTAACATAGTAGATTGTACCTCTTAATCCCCTACCCCTATCTTGTTCCTCCCCACTTCCCTCTCCCCAGTGGTAACCACTAGTTTGTTTTCTACATCTGTGAGTCTACAGAAACATTCTTTAATAGCTAATAATTGTTAGCTCCAGTTAGAAGCTGTATTATTTCATAACTTCTCTATTGAATTCACACTGTGTGCTTGATGAAATTAGTCCACATATGCAGGTAAATAGCAAAGGATCAGATCTGGACATACCATCCTTTTATAATGACCAATGTTAACAAATGTGTGTGGTTTACCAGATGTTAGGAACTCTTCCATTACTGGGATACAGTGACAAACAAGTGGAGAGTTAAATGACATTTCCATCGAATGACCTTTATTTTACTATTTCTTTTTTTTAATATGTATTTATTTATTTATTTTGGCTGTGCCGGGTCTTAGTTGCAGCACCAGGATTTTTGTTGCGGCATGCGGGCTCTTAGTTGCGGCATGTGGGATCTAGTTCCGGGGCTAGGGATTGAACCCTGGCCCCCTGCATTGGGAGTGCAGAGTCTTACCCACTGGGCCAGCAGGGAAGTCCCCATATTTTACTATTTCTTAAAAGAACTTTATTGGGGCTTCCCTGGTGGCGCAGTGGTTGGGAGTCCGCCTACCGATGCAGGGGACACGGGTTCGTGCCCCAGTCCAGGAGGATCCCACATGCCGCGGAGCGGCTGGGCCCGTGAGCCATGGCCGCTGGGCCTGCGCGTCCGGAGCCTGTGCTCCGTGACAGAAGAGGTCACAACAGTGAGAGGCCCGTGTACCGCAAAAAAAAAAAAAAAAGAACTTTATTAAGGCAATTTTCAAACAGACGTAATCCAGGAAGGAGCATAATTAACTCCCATGGTACCCATCTCCAGCTTTAATAATTTTCAACAATGGGCCAATCTTGTTTCATCCAGTCTCATCCTTTTTGTTCCCAACGCTGTATATTTGAAATTTTTCAAATTTCACTGTATATATGAAAACCTGAAAGACCATTACAATGAATATTGATAAACCCTTCATAAATTGTTTACATTTTAAAACAATACTTTCTCTCTACATGCACACTTATTTCCCCCTGAACTATTTCAAGGTAAGTTGCAGATCTCATGACGTTCTTCAGCATAAATCTTCTAAGACCAAAGGATATTAACCCTCTCAAGAAATTCATTCTTGATATAATAATATATTTAATATATAACCCATATTCAAACTTTTCAACTGTTGTAAAAATGCCCTTTACAGTCTTCGCTCTTACTCTCTCTGGCTTTTGTTTTTTGTTTTTTTTTATGATCCTGGATCCAATCAAAGATTATGCCCTGCATTTAGCTGTCACCTTAGTCTCTATTAATAATCTATAACAGTCCTAACTTCCTTTTGGCCTTTCAGGACTTTGACCTTTTGGAAGTCCACTTATTTTAAAGGATTTTCCACAGTTTGAATTTGTCTGTTTCCTCATGATTGGATTCAGGCTACACATTTTTGGCAAGAATATTACACAGAAAGTGTTGTGCAAATGACCTTTTATCTTATTTTTTTAAAAATGTGACTGATGATTATTTAAGAAAATTTCTTTCAACATGAATAAAAATAATGACCAGTTTTCCCATGAGTAAAAATAACGATCAGTTAGAATAGTTTAAAACTTTTTCTGATATATGTATAACATTTATTAAAAAATAATTTACTTGCAAGGCAAAGATGGATGAATACAAAGATAAAAAATGAGGTGTTTGGGAGGTTTTTTTGTTTTATTTACTTATTTTTGGAAGTAAGAGACATCCTCTTCTCATTTTAAGGTCCATATTTTATGGAATTTGATCTCCAAAGCTAGAAATATACTTATTAAATCATCCCCAAAGCTCTGGAGAAGTGAGGAAAGCATCTAGTCATTCATTTAAGGAATATGAGCTTATTAAAAGAAATATAGGAAAACATGGCCTGGAAGAATATAACTAAATTCATGATTGGCTCTGAGTGGAAAGATGGAAAGGGGAGGAAGGGCCCAAAGGGGACTTCTACTTTGTCAGTGATCGTTAAAAAAAAAGGCCTGACTCAAATACCACAAATTGTTAATATTCTTTTAATTCTAGGTGGGAGGTACAAAGGTATCTGCCTTATTAGTCTCTGTAATTTTCTGTACTTAAGACATTTCCCAAATAAATAAAATAGTTAGGAGCTATTTATTATCATGATAGTTGGTCAATCATCTCATTATATAGCCAAGGAGAAAAAAGCCTGGGTTACAGAACCCTATCTCTCTCAGTTGTCTAGATATGTACAGTATAAGCTCAGTGACTTCCTGTTATAACACTCTAACATGTATGTGTATCCTAAAGACTTTTATGTTTCTAAGGCTAGGAAAAAATTCAAGAGCCCATCAAATTCAAACATCTTTATCTTTAGACAGAAAATCCATTGTGTATCTGGAAAGGCAACAGAGCATAAAGGTAGTGAGTAGAGACTCCACAGCTAGAGTGCTTGGGTTCAAATACTAATTCCAGCTCTTCAACTAGCTGTAACTTTGAGAACGTTAGTTAAACTTTCTGCACCTTTGTTTCCTCATCTGTAAAATGTTGATGACGGTAATGCCAAACTTCTAGGGCTGTTAATATTAGTAAAGTGCTTAGACCAGTGCCTGGCATTTCCTAAACATCACGTTTCTTAGATAAAAATAAGTAAGTCTTGGAATCCCAGCAAGTTCAATGCAAAACACATTTACTATCTTAGTCAAAGAAAGGCAAACTCCAATCAAGCAGTCAGCCTAGGTGGGAGTCCCAGACTTCTGTGAGTATAGAATGAGATATTGTGAGTCTTGAGGCCTGTGACTTAATTACCATAAGAAGAATCATCTGGATGTCTGCATCCCAGGGCTCATGCTAGTTGAAAACTTGATCTTAAGTAACCTCAGTTAATCTAGATGGTGATTGTCACCCCTTACTGGGGAGACCACCTGAGTTAACCAACAACATAACTATCTTTTGCAAGTGAGTACATAAACCCTAAGAAGATTCAGAATTAAGTATAGGAATATTTAAACAAACTAAAGACTTAGTTTTAATATTTTTGCATTGTAAAGAAATTATTTGCATTTGTTATTATATTTATACACTTGTAATATTTTAAGGACAATTAGCCCTATTAATGTGACAGCTATGTAACTCCAGTTCAAAATGTGTAATTATGTTACTAATTTAGATTTATGGTTTTAGGTTGACATATCACTGGTTTGTTCAGTATTGGACCATTGAAGAGGATGTCAGGTTAGATGTATTTATAAGTTAAATTTACTGGAATTTTAGAGTATAGGAATCACAAGAAAGTTTTATTTGTTAATTCAGATCATTGAAATACATAAAAAGGAAGCCAAATATACTAAATTTATAAATATAGTGAAATGTTAAAGGTGTTTAGTTTGTAAATTGGACTAAACATGATTCAAAGCCTCTTAAAATGACTGTAAAATTTGCTAAGCCTAAGAAAACAATAAACTTAAAAGTTAAGAAAAATTGGGGTATTACATTGAGAACTTTTCTGAAACGAGCACTACCTGTTTAAAACAAAAAGAGTCTTCTGGATAGATTTTTCTACATTTGAAACCACCTTGAAGGAAGCCAATAGAGCACGTCAATAAGGGGATATGTCCCAAGATACGGATTTATGCACACGTCCTTCTGGCATGGGGGGCAAGGGGACAGACTCCTTTCCATGTTTTGTCCATCACTTACCAGCTGTGTGACTTCAAACAAGCTATCTAACTCTAGTTAAGCCAAAGTTTCCTCAGCTGGAATCAGGGAATAAGGTTATAGGGTAAGAAGTAAACATGATAATGCATATGAAGGGATAGCAGAGTGCCTGGCACATGGTATATGTTCGGTAAGAGTTATTTTTAATGGAATCATCGTTACCATACATCAAGATTTTTAGAAGGCACCTACTCTGATTGCTGTGCTTAGAGAGGCAAGGTATTCCTCAGCTTACAAGACAACTGCTTCAAGAGCGATGTGGAGAATACCCAGCTACTTTAAAGATATGAGATATCTATTTTCCTTCACTCTCTCCAAATAGGGTATTTATTATTAGGCAGATCAAAGACACTATGCCTGAGTTTCAGACCCTCATTTTATAAACTCAGTTGTATTGGAAATGTAACTCATGCCAAGAAAAAAGCCTGTATTATAAGGATTTTAGATTTCTATCATGTTTAAACATATAGTCCAGTGATTTTGCTTACTTTCTCGGCTTACTATTTTCCACCCTTCTGCCATTCCAGCTGGTTTGTCAATGACAGAGAAGCTGAAAGGCCAGCTGTTTTGGGGTCCGTCCAGGTCCTCTGCGGTCACGTTCACGTATTGCACATCATCACAGACAGTCTGCACAGGGTCGACCAGTGTGGGACAATTGTCATTGATGTCTTCAACCGTGATACTAATAGTGCCAGTGATGGTTTTTCCAGGATATTCTTAAAAATAAGAAAAAGATAATGTATATTTTGGTTATACTGCTCATATGGACATAGTTTGAATTCTCTTGCCAATTTGGTAAGGAGAAGGTAGTAACCAAATTAGGATGCTTTCTATCTTAGATATATTTTCATATTCAGATCAAGTAATATCTTTTAATCCACTAAATAAGTAGAAATGTGAAGGTTTACCCATTTGGCATTCCTACAAGATCAAAGCAAAGGTCTCTGATGCTGGAAAATAAAATCTAAATGCATATAACCAAGAAAAAGTGTCTATTTAATAACTTACCTTCTGTAATAGCCAAAATCTTTGCAGTGTAGGTACCATTTTGGACATATCTGGATTCATAATCAGGAATTTTTACAAGTTTAATTTCAGAGGTGGCAGAATTCACAGAGATCCAATTGTCTATATCTTCAAATTTGGCATATCTGTTAGAAAGCAGACAAAATTAATTTTGAGTTCTGGATAAATTGAGACTATCTACAATTAATATCTACAACTCTTTTAAGCTTAATTTCTGCTTTCTTATATATGTTCTTATTACAGGCATTAGTTTGGAATGGTTTTTAATTTCTTGAAACTATCCTAAAAGCCCCTCTGTTTACCGTGTATCACACCTACTTTGGACCCTTCCTTATTTCTGTAACATACCCAAGACATATGTGCAAGGGCGACGCCCTTGCCTACTCACCCGGGAGGTTTACGAGTTGCTCTTCAGTCTGTCTTAACGGCTTTCAATCTAGTTTTCCTTAAATTTGGAGTTAACCCTGGAGGATAACTTAGTCACCCAACAAGAACTCGTGGAGAAAAGCAGTTTTACATTCTATTATTTATTGGCATATTATCAATATTTAAAAATATCATTTTAAAAAATCAATGACTGCCTTAAATGGAAGTACTTTAAATTTTGGGATACTGTTGATTGTTCAGAGCAATAGGCTTCTTTCAGTTAGAAATGGTTAAAAGTGGAAACAATGCTGATAAGGTGATTTCTGGGTTTATTCCTTCAAAGCAAAGGAGAATTAGTGCAAAAAGAGACAGCTTTGGGAAGGCAAGGAGAACATTCATAGTACATTTTCAGAAATATATGTAATTTAATACCATCAAGTTTAAAATGTATCCAAATACAAATATAAACCAAACATATGAGAATTTGATTCAACCAATCGTATTAATGATTTATTTTCTATTAAGTGGCTGTTTAGGCATACAAAAATGAGTGGCTAATATATGGCAATATTTGTTTATAGTGACTAATATACACTCGAACTAAACTTTCCTGTCTTTTAATATTTATACCAGTAAATGATGATACATTTGGATTTTCATAAATATTTCTGAATTTCATGGCTGGAATTTTAAAGCTTGAACTTAGCTGCTGTCAATGTTTCCCCAAATAATGCTTATAACAAAGATGAAATTAAAGTAATAAGAATCACACTTCACAATGGAATGTTTTGTGTGGTCTCATTTAAGGGATTTTCTGTTTTCTATTGTGAAAACTAGACACCATTCAAAGTAGGATGGCAGCTCACATGTCATGTCAAATATCCATAACAACTGATGCATATGAATAATCAGTAAAAGAGTAAATTATGACAAAAGAGAGTGATTCTTCTGCTGTCCTTATCAACATTTCTAAATTAGGTGAATACCGGAAGATTATTTCACTTAGCTGTGCCTCTCATTCCTTATCTGTAAAATAGTAGGTTTGAATTAATCTTTAAGATCATTCTTATTCTAAAGTTCTGTAAGTGTATGCTAAAAATAAAATACTTTTGAGGAGTAAAGAAACATGGTTCATTATTTTTTCAAGGAAGAACATATGATCTTTTGATACAGTCATAACTCTTACTAAAAACAGCAACCAAAATTAAACAGTTAGATGGAAATAGAAGTTTCAATAGAGAGTCACAATATTATTGGAGGATAATTAATTAGAATATCTATGCCTCTCAGGGGACAGTGTGAGGGATCATAAGGAACACTCATTCTCAATTCTGGGGATTTAGGTGGGGACTGCCTTCTTAAGTTTAGAGCCATGGAAATAAAAAGTAGACTATAAAAGTCGAGAGAAGCTAGACTGGTTCCTGAAGTTAAGGTGGGCAAAAAGGGGTCACCAAGACATGGCAGAAAACACAATGGAAGCTGTTTGTTAACATAATTTTGGAAAAAGGTCACTTGCTACTACTGGCTGATGAATTCCATGAAAAGGAGATTCACTAAAAGGAAAGAGATTGTTGAAGAGCTTCCTCCATATTCCCATTCGTGCTATGGTTGGCCACGCATCTAAATACAATGTTTCATGAGTACTGGCACCCAGGGACATAGGCCTAAGGAGAGTTGAAGCAACCGACAACTCTGGCACCGGCAGCAGGAAAACATAGAAGCTGTTGTGTCTCGGGTGGCAGGTGGGGATTCTTAAATTCAACCAAATAACTACAGCTAGGTAGAACTTCATAAATAATAGCTCTGTAGAGAGTCATCTTTTGATGGTATGGCTCTGAGATCTAAGATGTAAATTCACTTTGAAAATGTGAATGGATCTTGCAAACCTAGGTGTCGCTACAGAGTGGACACAATCCAGCACCTTCCAGCACAGGGGCGGCATTTAGTAGGTTCTCAATAAGTATATTCTGAGTAAAGGTCACCATAACCGAGACAAGCATTACAAAAGTTTCATCAATCCCTAGCCCAAATAGCCTGGTTTAAATGAAGATCAATTTCCAAGGCTTATGAGCAAATGAAACTGGATTCCCCATTATTAAAATACATTATGCAGCTATTTTTATTTCTCTTAACCAACCTTGTATAAAGTGGAATTTGCAGTAAATTTTACTTGCTGTTTTCTTATCTCTGATACTCTTTTAAGACAAATTTTAGAAAGTGTTTTTCTGAACTTTCTCTTTGTTGCTTTTTAGCCTTCTCTACCCAGAACTGTTTTGAGGTGACCAACCCGGCCTCTGCCTCATACTCGGGTGGTGGAGGGAAAGGGATCCTTGGAAAACTCCTTTTTGCCTCTCAGTGACATGTACAACTCTAGGAAATTTAATCTATAGACCTTTGGGGGATTATAATGGCGGGGTTTGAAGGAGTGAAGTGTTAAAATTTCATTACGATTTTTGAAAATAGGCATTCAAAGTCACTTAAAATGATGAAACAATATTCATAACTATCTCTTACTTTACATGGGCTACTTGTCCAGTGTCGCCATCAAAAGCTTGAAATTTTCCCATTATTTGGCTTTGGCTTAATTTTTCCACACTCTCGCTAGTGTGAAATTGGATTACGCTGCTTTTAAAATAAATGCCTTCTTTCACATTTTTCACTTTGACTTTGATCGGAATGGATGTAGGCTTATATTTATTCTTAACTGATTTGTGAAAAGCTGCTTTGTTAGTGACAATAATGTTGAAGTCAAGATTCTTCATTTCTTCATAATCTACTTCCTAGAAAGGCAAAATCAAAGGGAATGCTTTTAAAAGGGAAAACAACTAGAGCACACATGTGTGGTTTTAGTGTCAGATTATAATAATTTAAAACATGAAAAATACAGCAGTACTGAGTAGTCCAGCTCTTATATTGGTACCATGCCATTAAAAAGTCTGTCAATTTTGATGTTCATAAATGTTTAGGAAGCATCCCCAATTTATTTAAGGTCAAAATCATTTAAAACGTATACATTTTTATTTTTAGCAATCTGAAGTGATTTTTTTTCTTAATAAAAAAAAGTTAATGGACATCCAATATAATATTCCTTAAAATGTGTTCCAGGGGTTTGTTCTGGTGAAAAGGGCTACATAAGTAGGCACTGCCAGCTCTATCCCATGGCATATCATAAAACCGAGACCTCCTGTAGAAAAAACAACTATTTAGCTTTGTTAAGCCTAGGGATTTTCAAATTTGTTTAAACAGAGAGTCTAACCCCCTCCTTTTCAGCATAATGTCTATTAATATCTGGTTTGCTATTAATGCCATAAAAGATTAATCCTCCTCTAAATACTTTGATCTTTGTGAATTGTGGTGTTTATTAAGTACGTTTGATATAATCAGTTTATCACTCTATGCATATTTTATGTTCCAATTTGTCCATTTTCTTTTTAAAAACATTTCTATAGTATTCTACTATTTAGATACACTTAATTTACTTAGCCATTCTGTTATTAGGCATTTCGACTATTTGCAGTTAATACTGCTCTGAACGTTTTTATACAAATTATTTTTCCCCTGTTGAGCTACAGAGGGAAGAAGTACCCAGTCAAAGTTTATGCAGGTCCTGTTGCTTTTTATTTCTAGTGGTCCTGACCATTTAGATGTACTGACTGACCATCTTTGCTGTTAAATATACTACATGTGTTTACATGAATTACTGCAATGTTCACTTTTGTTTTTGGATGATTTATTATGAAATCCGTTTTCCTCTCTATAGAGTTCTGGATATATAACTTCTGCCCCCTTTATTATATGGGTCACTGGGGCATTGGGACAATAACACAACACAAATTGACTACAGAAAAGTACACTCTTTGTGACTGTAGAATCCTTGTGAAAGTTATTGTCTTTTTAAGTTGCTCTTGCACTTCACACACTTATTTTGATGGTACGATGTATGCCGGATGAGAAATAAAATCTTTCAGCCATATGTCATTAGTATTCAAAGACCATGGAAGAACAAGACAATGGTAAAAAAAAAATGAGCTAGGTACTGGCGACATAAAAACTGTTTCATAGTGTTTGTTATAAATAGCCATCGTGCTCCAAAGAGAATGGAAAATTTTTCAGCATCAAGAGCAATGTATGAGGGCATGTACCTCTAGTTTTGCAACTGTTAGCATATTTTATCACTCCCATTTTTGCTATCTTCAATAGCATTAAAGATACTAAACTTATTTGTTAACACAGCTGAGGCTTTTTCTCATGTGATGATTTACTATCTCTGTTTCTACAGTTTAAAGTATCTATTCTCCTGTATCTTTTTTAGACTGCTTTATTGAGGCATGACTTACCTACAATGAAATTTACCCATTTTAAGTGTAAAACATGAGGATGTTTCATAAGCCTATATGGTTTTGCAAATATCAAGACTGTTGGTTTTAGAACACTTCCATCGCTCCCCAAAAGTTCCTTTTTGCCTATTTGTAGCCAAATCGTAGCCCACCCTAAGCAACCACTGATGTTTTCTATGTAAGCGCTTTTTGCCTTTTCTAGGAATTTCACACAAATAGAATCATACGGTACATAGTATTTTGTGTCTGTATAAAGTATAATGTTTGTGAGGTTCATCCACGTTGTAGCATGTATCAGTACTTCATTCCTTTTTATTGCTCAAGAGTATTCCATTGTATCAATAGACCACATTTTATCTGCTCACCAGTTGGTGGACATTTGGACTGTTACCAGTTTTTCATTATTATGAATACAAGCCACTATGAACACTTGCATGCAAGTTTTTTTGTTTTTTGTTTTATTTTGTAGATGTATGTTTTTATTTTTCTTGGGTAGATACCTAGGACTAAATCGTTAGGTCACTGGATAACTACTCAATGTTTAACTTTTTATAAAACTGCCAAACTGGCTCTACCATTTAATGTTTCTACTGGCAATATATAGGAGTTCCAGTTCTATATTCTTGCTGATACTTGGTGTTGTCAGTCTTTCTTTGATTGTAGCTCCTTCTAGCAGGTGTGCAGTGGTAGCTCACATAGTCTTAATTTGCATCTTCCCTAATGACTAATGATGTTGAGCATCCTTTATGCACACATTTGCTATTTGTATATCTTCTTTATCTAACTTCCTTGTCCATTCATTTGAATGAAATCTGATTACCACCTTTATAATTTGGAAGTGATTCTTTATACAACTGGAAAAGTAAATTTGTAATTTTCTTAATCTGTTGCTGTCATTTTAACACTAAATTTACTATTTTTTTTCATGCCCCCTTTGATAACCCCTTCTTGTGCTACCGTGGTGCATTGAGGATATTTCTATTATTCATCACTAAGTGATTGTTTCTCCTTATGTGTATTACTGGCTTTTTATCTCAGGCATCAAGCATGGTTGCACCTATAATCTGTGACTAAAAAGTATGCTTAGTTCTGTATAAGCAGGTAAATCTATTTCGTCTCTGATGCCATTATCCATGTATTCAGTAATCATAAAATGTGTCTTCCCTTCAAACATGAGCTAATCTTTTTCTATTTTCCTTTGCTTTACAAAAAGTAATCTAAATGCATACAGTAGCCCATTGATAAATGGTATCAATAATTATTACTATGAAACCTCAAGTTAATTTTTCTCTATTCGGTTATACGTTATCATCATTCCTCTTCCTGCTATTAGGGTTTACATACTATACCATATATTAAGTTTTTGTTAAAATGTGGAAACCTCTGGAATCAATTTTTGTCTGTGACTTAATGAAACAGTCTTTTGAAAGCTGTAGCTATGCTTTTTATTTTATAATCTGATAAGGTAATTCTACCATAAACCATTTAAACATACACTGATATTCCTCTTTACTTATTCTGTTAGATAAAGATCCATCCTCTAAGTTTGGTTTAAGAAATTCTGTGGGAGTAAGGGTTTTAATTGTTTAAGACCCATATGCTTAATAACATTATTAAATTTTTGTTCGTTGATTCAATTAAGCACACTTATAACACTGTGTTTCAAAATGTGACCCTCCTACTACTGACATTAGAAACACAAAAAGTGTAACCACTTACTAACCACAGAAATTGGGCAAGTAGGGGTGGCTCCTATCTCTTCAACTGTGGTGCCAGTTAACTGATTATGAAAAGTACTTGTAAATATGTGGAGCTCAAAATAGATCAGTTCCCTCCTCTGGACCAACTTCTCCCATTCCAGTTTTGAACACTAGGTACCTACCTTAACAAGGGTCACGATTCCTTCATTAGTTTGAGTATCAGTTTCTATGTGGAAATAACCCCCTTCATTTCCTGATGCAAAAGTAAAATTGGCTAACCAGTTGTCAGAGCCTACTTCATCTGCATCGAACACTTTTATGCGTAAAACTTCTACGTTGGCTTTGTTTTCTTCAACTGTTCCTTCATACTGCAAAGCATGAACAGGCAATTTTTATTCTGAGGTAACACAAACCTAGGTGATATATTTTTAGTTTATGACTAAAATATACATAGGCATGTTTGTTATAAAAATAATAGTTACCACTTTATTTTCGACTACAGGTATATTGTCATTGACGTCCAAAATACGAATCTGAACTTGAGCTTGTTTTACTGGCTTATCTGTTACTTGTCCATTGCCATCTCTTGCTTCTACCGTCAAAGTATAAGTGCTGTGTTCCTACAGGGAAATAAAAGATATCCAGCTGGGGTGAAAATGAATGGCTCTATCTTTCTGGTTTTAGTTCACTTTATCATCAAGGGAATGAACCACAGTATATTTTATTCATAAGTAAGTTTCATGATCTGCTGTTAATCCTATGAAGATGCTGTTTATTTGCCATCAGAGCTTTTCTAAAAGGGCAGAAAAGCCTAATGCAGTTGTTGATATTGAATTCTTAATTATGTCATTGGTGATATTTATCAGGAGATGAGTCTCTCCTTAAAATAGTCTGAGCACAAAAGAGTGCATTCAAAATGTAGTTTGCACTATACTGGAAGTGATGGGACTCTAGGACTTGGTTTTTTCTATCCCACACATCATTTTCAGTTAAAAGTTAAGCCAGGAAAACTTAATCCCCCAAGAACACTTGACCATTGAAGGCAAAACTTGGTGAACTTTGTCCATACATCCCGGGAGATTAGATTCTTGGAGAACGTGTCCTAGAGAATAACGTCTCAGATATTACTCCAGAGGGAAACCTCTCATCCACGTGGTCCCTTTCCGATGGCTCCATTCAGTGTGGGTGTTGTTTAAGGAGCCGGGCAGCCAGTGCCAATGCCTGGGGACCCTGTGCTCAGTGAGAGGCAGGACAGCAGAGGCTTTGGAACCAGCTGGCTGGGTTCCAATTCTGACTTACTAGCTGTGTTGGACACACATTATCTGTTTGCTCCTTGGTTTCCTTCTATGTAAAATGGGGGTAATTGTATCTGCTTCACAGGGTTTACAGGTGAAGTTAATTTGAGTTATTCCACATAAAAGGTTTGTAATAGCACCAGGCATTTGGTGAGTGCCCAATAAGCAACAGCCAGTATTTTCTGGTTAAACTTTCTAGAGACAGAAGCTCATTAAAAAATTCACACTACTAATTCAAAATAGTACTTTTCCATTCTCATTTTATGCAAAAAAGGTAGAGTAGAATTTTAGGAGTATTAATATGCTTTAATTTTACAGAGACCTTGATAGGAATGTTGAGCACTATCCTCTCCGTCTCTGGCCAGAGTCAAATCATTTTTCCAAGTAATACAAAACACTCTGACTGTGCCTGGATGATGATTTATATTTGATGATAATACATTGTTCTTTAGATCATCAACAGTTTACTCTGAATGCTGTTATGACCTTTATGTATGTAGCATTTAAAAAAAACTTCTCTCTCCCTTTTTCAACTAAAATGTTCCCTTTGACTTAGAAACAAAAAATGAAATGTTTGAGAAAGCACCCTTTTTAGGAAACTGACTCAAATTTTCCTCCAATTTGGGATTTACAGTAACTCTTTCCTTTACAAATACTTCTATTACCCTAAATAGGATTCCTATTTCAAAGTTTTTTCCTCCCTCTGTATATGTACTAGTAGTACAAAAGATTCCTGACGTTTCATTATAGAGACACAAATTAAGGAACATTGCTTTGGAACTCTCTAGCAAACAGATCCTGACTGGGGAGGCCCTAGGACAGTGCTTATGTAATTTAAAATTTTTTAGCAGCCACATTTAAAAAAGTAAGAAGAGGGAATTCCCTGGCAGTCCAGTGGTTAGGACTTGGTGCTTCACTGCTGGGGCCTGTGTTCAATCCCTGGTCGGGGAACTAAGATTCTGCAAGCCGAGTGGCGTGGCCAAAGACATAAATAAATAAACATAAAAAAAGTAAAAAGAAACACGTAATACTAATTTTAAACAAATATATTTCATTTAACCCATGGTATCCAAAATATAATCAATTCAACATGTGATCAACAAAAATATTATTAAGGTGATATTTTACACATTCTTTTTTTTCATACTAAGCCTTCCCAATCTGGTGTATATTTTCCACTTACAGCACATCTCAATTTGGACTAGTCACATTTCAAGTGGTCAATGGCCACATATGGCTGATGGCTACCATATTAGACAGCACATCCCTAGAGGAGGATCATTCCGAGTTATCCTATGAGTAAGTAACATAGACCAAAGTCAGAAAGTTAGCAAAGAATTAGAGAGAGAATAACTGGAAAGACAGAGGAGAGCTGAAAGATGAATAACATAAAATATTAATTTACCTCTCTGTCCAAGGTAATACTGGTTGTATAAACCTCTCCTGTATCTTTATTTAGGTAAAACAATGGAGAATTAGCAGGCTCCTGAGATACAATTCTATAAGAAATTTTAGAATTCAGAGTGTTGGGCTCATCTGCATCTGTTGCGGTGATTTTCATCACAAGTGTATCTGGCATCAGAAACAAAGGTGTCCAAGATGAAACTCAACTTTTAGCATACTTAATGTATGTTATTATTTTATTTATAATATCAACTTGTTCCATAAAGGATTCCAGGTATTTATCAAAATCAGTTTACCAAGATCAAAACATTTAATTGTTTGAGGAAATAAGTGTGAATGGAGGTAGGAATAGGAAAAATAAGGTGAGGGTGAGGCTGAGGTTAGTACATACAATTCTTAGGATGAAGTCCTGAACACTTGCTATAGGAGGGTCACAAATTTGTTTATAATAGATCTAATAACCCATACAAAGAAAGGAGAATGAACAGATACAAATACATGCTTATTAAAATATAAGCAATTCAGGAGAAGCATAGCTATTCTTTACATTCTGATCAAAGAGAAATCTCTCCTGCGTTTAACACTTGCACTGAAGTCTGACAGTTGAAACAATATGTCAAAGGTCAGCAAACTACTGCCAGTGAGCCAAAGCCAGCCAGCCACCAGCTTTTGTGAATAAAATTTTATTGGAACACAGCCATGCCTATTTGTTTACATGTTATCTATGGCTGCTTTCCTGATACAGACTAAAATTGAATAGTTGCTATAGAGACCTAACCTATCACATCAATCTACCACATCTGTTTCAGGGTAAAAAATTTATAACAAAAAAGCAGTTCCAAACCTAGAGCAATATGTTTATTATTATTTGTCCTGTGGGTAATACCCAGCCTCCACTAAGACAGAGGTTTCAGTGTTCAGTCACACAATGGGGATAAATTGGCCTTGGATATTCATTCATAAAAAAAAATAACCTCTTACTTGCTGCACTCAGCTCTTCAACAGACCCAACAAAGACATCCTGTGTGAACACTGGCTCATTGTCATTGATGTCAAGAACTTTAATTCGGAGTTCTATTGTTTTCTCTAAGTTGTTTCCTTTCTCATCCAAAGCATAACCAGTTAGCTGAAATCACGACATAAATAATAGAAGGGATTAGATTTAAGCTGAGGTCATTCAAGTACCATAGTTTCAAAACAATAATAAAACATACCATAATTATTACCCAAGAAGAACTACAAACTAATAAATGTAAAATTGTTCTTCTTACCAGAAAAAATGGTGTTTCTTCTCGATCTAGAATGGTGGTAACGTTCAGTTCTCCGGTGTCTTTATTAAAGACAAACACACCAAAAGGTGGCTCTGTGATCCCTTTTCCAGTGTATTTGTATGTAATTTTTAGGTTTTTTTCTTCTGCAAGATCAGAATTTATCTAACATAAAAATAAGAAAGGAATGCCTCAAGTTAAACTCTCTATAACTTATAGGTAATTGTTTTTAATGGAAAATTTTGCTCTGAAGCTGTCAGATGTTGATGGGTGGAGGGTGGGCGGTGCACAAGTACTCCAGAGAAGAGGTGCTGGTGTCAGAGGACCTGGTTCTGGTCCTGTCTCAGCCACTCACCAGGTAGTGATGCTGAGGCAGTTACCTACCCTCCTGTGTCTCAGTGTTCTTATCTGTAACCTGAAGAGACACTACTGCCTACCTCTCAGGGTTGTTATGAAATTAAGGTATCATTAGCGGGGTACATCTTGGTGGGGATGGATTTTAAATTTAGCACATAAGGTAAAAATTGCAGAGTCAAAATCACCTTCATAACTCCGTTTGATTATGAGGACAGTATGAATAAGGCATCCTTCCATAGAAGGGTTAAAATAGTCAAGTGTGGAAAAAAAAAAAAAAAAAAAAAAAATAGTCAAGTGTTTGCCTGCTTGGAATGCTTCAGCAAATCAGGGTTTCTAACCCGCTGGGTCTTCTGTAGTTAATACTTTCATCCTCTATAAACAGCTTTATTTGTATCTCCAATTCGTTCGTTTGTTTGCCATTTCTGTATCTCTCATTCTTCATTAGTAAGTGTGTCTCTGTGGCCTCCTACTGGATCCTCAATTTCTTTTCTTCAGACATCGTTGAAGCCATCACCACCCACCTGCCTGGCCAATTCTTTGTCCTGAAATCTCAGGATTAGCTACACATTCTTCCCAGAGGATTCTCAACATGCACTGGGGCTGGGGGTTGTTGCTGAGAATGATCAATGCGGCTCCAATCTCCCGCTACAGCTGCTCTGCTCCAAGAGTGGAACGGTGATCCTGGGGCAGCCCATGATCACTTTTCACTGAGCTTCTCTCTCTGTTTGCCTTTCTTGTTCTCTGTGTTTCTGTTTGTCTGTCTCTCTTTTTTTGCCAAGTACATGCATATACACACACAACACATGTGTATGTGCATATACATATATACTTCAGTATTTATAGAGAATATTCTAGATCTCTATGTGCTAATTATATGTATTATATAATTTCACTTACGTTAAAAATAAAACCAAACTGTGTGTGGACATAACAGTTGGTTTGTATATATATGTATGCATGTAAGAGTATGTAAGTATATACATACTTATGTATTTCACAAGATCTGGAAGATACTAAACTGTTGACAGTATTACTCCTAGACAGAGAATTTGGAAAGTTGGGGAAATACAAGATCTTTTGCTTTTTATGTACATTTTACTCTGAACAACTTTTTTTTTTTCACTTTTTTCCAGCTTTATTGAAATATAATTGACATAACATTGTGTAGGTTTAAAGTGTACAATGTGATCGTTTGATACATATATGTATTGTGAAATATTTACCACAATAAGATGAACAACTTTTATAATTAAAATTAGTAAGAAGAATAGCTAACACTTATCGAACCCCAAAGAATCAATGCATTTTATGGAAAGAATGTGTGAATGACTCAGATATCTCATCAAACCAAACCAAACCAAAGCAAACCGAAAAGCTTAACTCCTTAAAATACATACTATTATGTAAAACCGAAATTAAACATTTAGATTTTAGAAGGCTTCTATGAAAACAATATGTTGCTGGAAAAAGGAAAGTGTTGTCTTCTGTTCTGTAGCTGCTCTTTCTTTTAAGGAGCTCATCATGTATAATGTTTATAAGACGGGAAAGATGAAGGTACAACTTGCATATGAACAATTATTCATTCACACAAATGTTTACTGAATGTTGGTACTGCTCAGGGCACAGGGCATGAGCTGTGAGCCCTAAGGTCTAAGCCCCTGCCCTGGGGGAGCTTACACTCTACTGAGGGAACCAGACAACAAGCAAGCAATTTATGACATAATGTCCTGGAGGCGAATGAGCTATAAACTGAGCAGAACGAGTGAAGGGACTGAGATGGGGTGAGGCCAGGAAGGGAATTCTTTCAGGAGGTAACTCTTGGCTAGAGGCTTGATGCTGTGAGATACTACAAATATCTGTGGGGAGGGGGTTCTAGGCAGAGGCAACAGCAAGTGCTAAGGGTGGGAGGCTGGAATGGCTTGTGTCAGCTTAGGGAGGTGGCAGAGTGGGGGCTGGGGCTGATAGGAGCTAAGGTCAGAGAGGAGGTCAGGGCCAATGAATCCCAAGAGCTCTTGTAGGCCGCGGTGAGGAGTTTACTCCTTCCACTGCAGTGGGCAGATGTTGAAAGGGTCTCACTAAGGGGATGCTTTGATTTGTCTTTTCAAAAGATCACTCTGGGGCTTCCCTGGTGGAGCAGTGGTTAAGAATCAACCTGCCAATGCAGGGGACCTGGGTTCGAGCCCTGGTCTGGGAAGATCCCACATGCCATGGAGCAACTAAGCCCGTGTGCCACAACTACTGAGCCTGCACTCTAGAGCCCGTGAGCCGCAACTACTGAGTCCATGTGCCACAACTACTGAGCCTGTGAGCCTAGAGCCTGTGCTCCGCAACAAGGGAAGCCACCGCAATGAGAAGCCCGCACACCGAAAAGAAGAGTAGCCCCCGCTCACCACAACTAGAGAAAGCCCGTGTGCAGCAACGAAGACCCAGTGCAGCCAAAAATAAATAAATTTATTAAAAAAATAAGCCAAAACAAAAAAACTCCAAAAGATCACTCTGGCCGCTTTCTGGAGAATGGACTGTGGTGGGGGGAAGCGGAGGCAAGAGTGAAGGCAGGGAGATGAAGTCGGGGCGCTTTTGGTAGCACAGGTCAGAGCTGACAATGACTCGGACAAGGAGGGTGGCAGTGGGGAGAAGTGGACAGATCTGGAATACATTTTTGGGATAGAACTGACAGTTCTTGCTACATTTTTGAAATACTGGATAGAATTATAGTGCCATTTACTGAAATGGGTAGAACTTACGGAGAACAGCTTTTGGGAAAAATCAAGTGTTCGGACTTTGCACATGCTAAGTCTGAGATACATATTAATAGAATTACCATATAATTTATCCAAAAAAAATGAGCATTTTGAGAGTGAAAGGGGAGTTACTAATGATTAGGCTAGGACAATGGCTACAAACTCAGGCTGTTTCTGGCAGGATGTGTGGTCACCCTACCACCTATTAGATATCAGTTCTTTTCATTTTGAAAACTACTTTCATGTGTAGGGTGGCAGAATACGCAACTCTGGTATAAGAATTATTTCAAGCCGAAAGCAATTGAGAAGAAGCAGATACAAGAAAGCTCTCTGCCCTCCCCCTATTTGCCTAAGAGCAGGACATAAATTTGTAAAGGTGCCTTCCACCCCTCTCTATGAGGAAGGACAAAAGTTAACCACAGGAGTTAGATCCTTATCAGCCTGGAGACAGGACCAGAGGAATCCACAAAACAAACCTGACTAACTAGATTTTTCTATCAGTTGCCCATATATCTGCCTTCCCACAGTTTGCTGCTCCTGGAGATTCAAGGTCCTTTTCGTCTTGTCACTTCTCTAAAAATGTATTGTTCTTTTGCTAAGTAGCTATATAAACCCAAATCCTAACCAAACCTTTAAGTTACTCACCTCTGGGTGCTACATGCGCGATAGACATGTTACTAAGCTTGTTTGTTTTTCTCTTGTTAATCTGGTTTTTTTGTCAGTCCAACTTCCAGGGCTACAGCCAGAGAAACTAGGAGGGGGGTAGGGAAAAGAACACTGCCCCGCCCCCAACACATGATACTATCTCCTTTTGAGCACTGTAACATTCTGTTAAACAAAGATTCAACTGGTGCCAGATTCAACTCTTAGTTGAATCAAAGCCCTACATTACGTATATATGTTCACCAATAATGCTGCATCTTCCAGAATGGGAAAGAGGCTCTTCCAGGTGATATGCGGAATATTAAAACCTCAGTAAGTACATCATATAATTTTCCTAAAATTTTAAAGTGAACATGAAAGTCCTCAGACCACACTTTAGCAATACGCATGCATTTCCTGTTCCTCTTGAGAAGGTACCTTGGCAATTGGATTCTTCCTGGACAGATCCTCTCCTTCCCGAAGTGCCACAGGGACAGTAATCCAAGCGCGCTTTTGCCTCACTGAGTGAGTATGTTTAGGAAGCAGCTTATTTTCATTTCTTGAGTGTAAGGCCTAAAACAACAAAATAATGCCCCCAAATGATTAAGTACCCTAAGACATTAGTATGGCATCCTGAAATTTACTAAAAGTTGAAAAGGGGCTGTGCAAATTTAAAGGTATAAATTTCATATTTTTTTAACAGGCTTCATTTTCAAAGAGGAAATATATACACTCTAGCAAACACTATATACCTGAAGAGCTTGTTTCCAAACCAGTAAAGCAGTTTTTTATCAGTTAGAAGAGATCTCCCAGAGTGAAGAGTTAAAAAGGTGAGAGTAATTCAGTGATCTTACAAATGGGCAAATTAAAATTAAGGTACCAAGTCATGAGTTTTTTTCTTACTGACTGAAAATGAAGTTTTATTTTTCTGTGGTGCCTTATAATTTAAAAATGAAATTACTAATGTTTTAAGACTAAATGTCAGTAAGCTGTTGATATCAATTTAACTAAAACTAGTGCAAGTGTCAGTTAATGAATTTATTGTTTTAAGAATGACGTTAAAGGATTAAATCACCCATCTTTGGTTTATCAAAAACTTTAGGTAGAAAACTATTCTATAAATTTTCAGTTGTGCTTTAATAGATGAATATATATTTTATCCAAGGAAAATTTTAATACAGCTGACCTAGTATTTTAAGATCAGAAATGATTTTTACACTAGGTTTACAGTTTTACTCATTTTGTTGCTGTAATATAACATGTATTTTATTTCAAAATATTTACACTGGTTATCACTAGGTCACTGATTTTTTTCTTTTAGTGGAAAAATTCTTCTATAATTAAAAAAATTATGTATCAAAACATTAAAATAACATTAAAGTTTATATTGTAAAAATGTAAAACATCCTCCTACTTTTTCCACTCATACTTTGGAGCATTCACTGTTAACAGCTTGATAAATATCTTTTATGATCTTTTCTTATGACCATACATCTGCACATGTAAAAAGGTCTCTTTTTTTATAAAAATGGAATTATACTGTACATCTCATTGTGCCCCTTGATTTTTTTTTAAAGGGTGATTCATTATTTATTTATTTAATTTTATTTTTGGCTGCATTGGGTCTTCGTTGCTGCACTTGGGCTTTCTCTAATTGTGGTGAGCGGGGTCTACTCTTGGTTGCAGTGCGCAGGCTTCTCATTGTGGTGGCTTCTCTTGTCGTGGAGCACGGGCTCTAGGAGTGCAGGCTTCAGTAGTTGTGGCACGCGGGCTCAGGAGTTGTGGCTCACAGGCTCTAGAGCGCAGGCTCAGTTTGTGGCACACGGGCTTAGTTGTTCCGCAGCATGTGGGATCTTCCCAGAGCAGGTCTCGAACCCGTGTCCCCTGCATTGGCAGGTGGATTCTTAACCACTGCGCCACCAGGGAAGTCCTGCCCCTTGATTTTTCATTCAGTACCTCATCATAGACATTCTTCCATGTACCATAAATTGTTTTACCATTCTCTCATTGATGGACATTTAGATTGTCAAAATATGCTGCACAGACATCCCTGGATAGAAGTTCCTGTGCATGTGTTTGAGTGGGAATGGCTGAGTCTGAGGTGATAGGGATAGAGTAGGATAATCAAGTAGTTAGCTCAGAAATCCCACTAGGGGATTGTAGACAGAGAGAGAACTTTAGAGGACTTTGGGAGACCCCAGTAAGTTAATGATCATTCAAGAAAGCAATGGAAAAATCCTGAAACAAGCTTGCTTGACTCATAAAGCAGAGCAAGTCACTTAGCATCAAAGCCTGATCGGCTTGCTTAGCAATAAAACCATGCAAAACAGAAGCATGAGACATGCCCCAAAACAATCAAACACTAGTGGAAAATAAGGCCTACAACCTGCCCAGTGACGTCAACAAGGTAATGACCCCTAGGACATGCTCTCTGCACACACAAAAAAACAGTAATTTATGGAAAGGTGACATTTCAAAGTGAAAGACCCTCGTTGTACTGAGACCTGAAATAATTTTTCCATAGTGCCATGACGGTCCTGGATGCACCATATAGGGTCAAAAACTCCTCCGCCCAGCATGTAGGAGGAGTTAATGATTGAAGACTCAAAGAATGAAAAAGAAGGTGGTCTTCTCCCCCTCCCTCCTCTTCGTTTGAAAAAGTAGCCCACTAAGTACTCGGAGAAGTGCAATGCTTGCCTGCTCCCTTGTAAGCCTCACAAGTGCCCTAGTCTAATAAATCACTTCTTACTTACCACTTTGCCTCTCTCTGAATTCTTTCTGCACTGAGACATAAAGGACTGGAGCTCCCTGGAGCCCCCCGAAACGCTACGCAGTTTCAGCAGCAGCAGTGTGTGTTTTCAATCTGGGAAAGGCTCAGCAGGAGTGTGTGTTTTCAATCTGGGAAAGGCACAACTGTCTTCCATGAAATTAAGCCCCTGAGTCCAAAAGACAGGAATAATCCCCTCGGTTCCTTACCTCTAAATGGAGTCCATCTCCAAAGTTAAAGCAGATCTGGAAAATAAAATTATTTGTTGTTTAATACAATTTATCACTCAATTAACCTTAAATACTTTGTTAATGAATAACCTAGCACCTAGGATATTATAGACATTAAAAAAAGGGGGAGGGTATTTAACCACTAGTATCCGTCTTTGTCAAAAGGAAACAAATTTTAATTTTCCCCTTTGCTTCCCACCATGACCAGGGCCAGAGAGAGGAATCCATATTCCTTTATATGCATACTCCCTCCCCCAGGAAGCTCAGAACACAACCCATATCTGAAAAACAAAGACACAAACTGTCCTTTTGAAATCTCAGCCACTCTCTGGTCCTTCCCTCCTTACCCTGTGGTTTTCACCTCATGTTCTCAGGGACCCAGTTACCTTTCCTCAAGGCCTTTAGTGTGAGATGCCCTCCCCCCTCCCCCTCTAACTCCCATCATGCCCCATATTCGGGTCACACATGACTGCCCATATTCAGACTTCATTCCTCAGCTTCCTACCAACTCTTTTCTTTGGTTCTTATCAAGCACTCTGGACTTATATTACACATCATTATACAGAACTAAATACAGTTATGTTTACTCTAAATCTGCACAACAAACCCCCATCCTGCCTTTTGACTTTTGCAGCACTTTGTTTATAGTCCATTAATCTCCTCTTGGCTTCCCTCTTCCCTTGGTTTAATCTGAACCAGCACTTCTAACAGGGTAGCCACATGTGGCTATTTACACTTAAATTAATTGAAATTGATAAATTTGCTCAATTGCCACAAGGGGCAAGTGGCTTAAGAACACTTCCACCATTGCCAGCCATTCCAAAGATATTGCCAATGACTCAGGGATCCTCAATCTCTTGATCTTCTAATATTCCTGCCTCACTTTTTCCCCCAACTCTGTAAGCCTAACTATGATTCTTTTTGACCCTGTACTGACATTGCTAGAGAGGGCCAGAGAGATGGAATGGACCCGTCACACATCCATGCTCCCTCCACAGGGGTGATGTTTGTTTCTAGGGTGACTATGTATGTTTACGTTTGCCCAGGCAAGTCCTGTTGTGCAGGCATCCCATCTGTTAGCACCCCTTTCATTCTCAAAAGTGTGCTCACTCAGACCATAAATTACACAACGGCCTTATCTTTGCTTCTATCTTTGCTTCTTGTACTGCATCCCTATCATACCACCCCAAACTTCCAGGCAATACCCCAATCACAATGACCACACTTCTGAACCCACTCTTAGACGATCCCACATTTTATTTGACTGAGATTGTATCTTCCATCACCCTCTCCTTCTCTTCTTTCTCCAAGGAAGAGGTGTCCTGATGCCTTTCCAAGGTTAACCATCATCTGTGTGCTTTATTTTCAACTTTTCCACTTATTCTCCCACATTTATCTTCTCAAGAAACTTGTTCCTTTCACTAATCTTTTATCTTCGTTTGCTGCTGGCTCATCAAACATGTTTATCTCCTTCCCATTGGTTGGTCAAACAAAGTTAGATCTTCCCTATCTTAAAAACACACAAACAGACCTCTCCCTTGTTTCTGTTCACATTTAATCTACTGCTCCATATCCTTCCTCTACTATAATTCCAACCTGAAATAGTTGTCTATATTTATTGCCTTTACTTCCTCACCTGCTATTTCTGTATTAGTTCTTTGTAATCTGTCTTAATTTTGGATTTTTCTCAGTCTTGTCTGCCCTTTTTCATGTGCATCTCAGGTCACACGGATCCATGAAGCCTTGGTTGGTAAATCATGGAAAGCACGACTTTCTCTAAAATTTTCCAGTCTCTTTTGCTTACTCACATCCCTTTGAAGGCTTCTTGCAGGGTCTGTTCTGCACATGGATCTTTCACCTTCCTTTCTTTCCTCTACCTTGTAGCACGTGTTCTTGTTTCCACCCTTGCAAAGAGATACTTAAGGACAGTGGATGTTCAGCCTCTAATATGAGTTTCTCTGGGGCAGATGAACCACCATGGCTAATTTTCTATTTTATGGTCGGATATATTATTTCTTCCTCATCCTCTCTATTACTAGTTTACCAGCTAGCAATGGCCAGAGATATCTCCAACCAAAGTCGTGCTCCCCAAATTTATGTACTTTCAGAGGTGGCATGGTATAAAAAAACAAGTGAAAGCAATGCTGAATGGATCACTCCTCTCTGCATGTTTCTCTGGTGGGTATTTTTGAAGGGAGAGACTAGGGACTAGATCCAGGATTCCTTTGTCACATCATCAGGGGACATTCTTAAAAAGTGATATATTTCTTGCCCAGCCTCCTAACTACTGGTTTCTTTTCTCTGTATGGGCCACACTGAGGAGCTGGCTGGATAAAATATTTACCACTTTTATTCTTCCCTAGAATCTTATTGGGCCTAGCAAAGGTGTGATATTAAATATGTGTTATTTTAAGTAAATGTTATCATTCTGACCAAATATCATGTGTCCCAGGATGTAAGCAAAAGGGGCCAATTTATAGTCTTCTAGTCAAACATAAACTCTTTATAAGAGTATCTTCATTTTTTATTGGAATGTACTTTTTAGATGTGACTTGTTAAGAAAACTACATGACTATAAACAGTGCTTCTTAAGTTCTAATGTGTATTTTGTTCACTGGGGATCTTGTTATTGATAAAATGAAGATTTCAATTCAGTACACCTGGAGTTCAGCTTTATACTCTGTATTTCTAAATGGCTCTCAGATGATGCCAAGGCTGCAGGTTCTTGGACCACACTTTAAGTAGCGAAGTTGTAGAACTGTGATACGCAATAACATTCTTTTGTTGAGGGATACAGACAACAAAGTCCACCTATTCATTATTATCTCAGTAGTTAACGCAAGAAACTTTGTCACTCTTGATTGTTAATATCTTGAAAGCAGAGAATCTTTTAATTCATGAATTTACTTATTTTTAACCTTTAAAAACTTCTAAATTGCAGCTATAGTCAGCCCTCCATATCTGCAAACGTGGAACCCGCGGATGCAGAACCCCCAGATACGGAGTAAGACGCGCCTTGTCATTTTATAGAAGGGACTTGAGAATCCACGTATTTTGGTTTCTAGGGAGCAGGGAGAACCCTGTAATCAACCCCTGGCGATTACGGAGAGATGACCGTATATACAAAAGCGGAGTAAACAGTACAACGAGCATCCACATAGCCAGCACCCAGTTTCAACAATTGCGTAGCACACACTTTTTTTTTTCTTTGCCCCACTGCTTCTGAAGGGGTTTTATCCCATTTACATTTTACTATTGTTAATGCTTTAGTTAGAGCAGCATTTGATTTTTGAGAATTTCCCTAAATGTTTTTTTTTTAATTGAAGTACATTTGATATACAATATTTGTTTCAGCACACATTTCTTTTTAAATAAATTTTTAATTCAGGGATATTTTTAGATTTACACAAATATTGTACAGAGGATGCCAAGAGTGCCTTTACTCATTTTCCACTAAAGCTAACATTTTATTTTTATTTATTTTTTTATTTAAAAAATTTTTTTAATTAATTAATTTATGGCTGCGTTGGGTCTTCATTGCTGCGTGCAGGCTTTCTCTAGTCGTGGCAAGTGGGGTGTACTCTTCGTTGCGGTGCACGGGCTCCTCATTGTGGTGACTTCTCTTGCTGCAGAGCACAGGCTCTAGGTGCGCGGGCTTCAGTAGTTATAGCACGCGGGCTCAGTAGTTGTGGCTTGTGGGCTCTACAGCACAGTCTCAGTAGTTGTGGTGCACAGGCTTAGTTGCTCTGCGGCATGTGGGATCTTCCCAGACCAGGGCTCAAACCTGTGTCCGCTGCATTGGCAGGTGGACTCTTAACCACTGTGCCACCAGGGAAGTCCCTAAAGCTAACATTTTAAATAACTGTGGTACATTTGTCAAAACTAAGATATCAAAATTGGTATATTTAGATAATGCGCAGTTAACTAAATTACTACACTTATTCAGATTTTACTGTTCCCACCACTAATGTCCTTTCTCTGTTCCAGGATCCAATCTAGGATCCCACGCTGCGTGAAGTTGTTATGTTTCCTTAATTTCCTCTGGTCTGTGACCATTTCCCAGGCTTTCCTTGTTTATGACCTTGACAGTTTTGAGGAGTACTGGCCAATTATCCTGCAGACTGTCCTCTCATTTGGATTTATCTGTTGTTTTTCTTATGTTTAGAACCGGGTGATGTGTTTTTGTAAAGAACACCACAGAGTGGTGCTGAAGTGCCCTTTTCCTCACAGCATATCAGGGATACATGATACTCACCTGACAATATTTGTTAAAGTAGCCTTTATAGGTTTCTCCACTGTAAAGTTGCTGTTTTTCCCTTCACCTGCTGTATTCTTTAGAAATGTATCATTAAGTCTAGCTCACCTTTGGAGTAGGGATGCCGGGAGGAGAGAGGTTAAGCTCCACTTCCGAGGGGGGCATCTCTATATATTATTTGGAATTCTTTAGTAAGAAAGATTTGTCTGTTCTTCCCTCATTTATTCGTTTATTAGTTCAATCATTTTTATCAGCTTGGACTCATGCATATTGATTTTATTCTGTGGGTTATAATCCAATACTATTTAATTTATTTTACTGTTTAAATAGTTCCAGCTTTGGCCATTGAAACATATTTATGGTTAGATTCTGTGTCCCTTTGACATGTCCCCATGTTTTGTTTTTTGAGCTCTTTCTTACTGTCTAGTATTACAAGATGCCCAGGCTCATCTTGTATTTTCCCTGTCCTAGCTTTAGAATCAACCATTTCATCAAGGAGCCCTGATTTCTAATACCAAATGGTATTTAGAAGCCAAGATCTGGGTGTGTACGTGTAGCACACACATTATAAAATTGTTTCCAGTCTCCTCAGCCACTTTAATGGGGAGGGAATAAAGATAGAGCTTTTCTTATTAACTTTGTTGTTACCAGAGGCTGTGTTTTAATTATTTTTCAGTAGCAAAAGGTTCATCTAAACTTAATTAACTCCCAAAGGTCCCATCTTCAAACACTATCCCATATGAATTTTCGGAGGACACAAACATTCAGTCTGTAACAACGTGTAAGAGAATTTGGCCAATGAGATATCAGGAGAGTCTGGAAAAAGATTCTTCTCTCTGATAAGAAGAAAAACATATGCACAGCCTCTCTTTTTACCTGCTTCTGGCGACTGCTGAGCAAGGATGTGACATTCGGAATCGCAATGGCCATCTGTGACCATGAGTAGAAAGCTAATAAAATGGCAGAGAAGACAAACTGAAACCATAACATCTCTGAGTTACGAAACTGGTCAAATCTGGAGCCACCCCATCTCCTGACCATTTGTTATGCAATATTAAACATTCCTTTTAATTAACCTTTTAGTTGCGTTTTGGTGCTTACATGTGAAAGCAGCCTAATGTGTACCATCGTTCAGAGTTATTATACAAATTGAAAGAAATAATACATAAATGCTGTATTTATTGCAATGACTGGCACATAGCAGGCACTCAGTGGATACAATTATGATGGTATTTCCTCATTTCTAAGACTTGCATTTTCCTCATCTTAAAATTTCTGAAATCTGGATTTATCCATGCCTTCAATTTCCCAAGCTCCTGCAATGTTCCTGTCCTCTTGGATTCTTACATGTTGGGGAGACAGACAAAAGTAGGGTGTGATAAAAGCTGTAAAGAAAATTAAAGCAGGGCCAAGGTAGTAGAGAGATTTAAGACTGTGGGGAGGCTCTCAGAAGAGGTTACATCTGCATAGAGACTGGAAAGGGGTGAGGGAGCAAGCCAGGTGGAGCCCTGCAAAAGGAATAGCCAGACCAGGAGGTGGTAATGAGAGCGCCATGGTCAAGGTGGTGGTGGTAGAGGGGAGGGATTCAGTGAAGACGGTGTCAGAGTGCCGCTTATGTTTCTTGATCTCGTTGCTGGTTACATGGTATGTCTGGTTTGTGAAAATTCAGTAATTCAGTACACTTCACTAAAAAGTTACCAAAATTGATGTGCACCTTAAAGCTGAGGGTTTTTGGAATCTACCTAATAGTTCTGCTGTTTGCATTTTACAGCATCTATTGCAATAGCCTGTTTTCACAGACACCTAATAAAGACATGATAGACTGAAATATTTGCTCCACATTCATGGTACAAACAACCCAAGAGAGTTGTACCAACATTTTGTCAGTTGTGGAACTGTTTGTTTATTTGACTAAGGAAATAGTTGAGATCTTAACTACTCCTTCCTAAAGTAAATGATTTGGATGTTTCCTTAGGACTGTGTATCTCACACCACACATTCTTAATTTAGGACAGTAGTTCTCAGTTGGGGGAGATTCTGTGCACACAAATCCCCCCACCCCTTTCCTGTGACATCCTGTGGTCACCTGGAATATTTGGTAAAGTGTGGAGACATTTTTGCTTATCAAACCAGAGTGCGTGTGTTGGGGGCGGGGGGAAGTAAGTGCTACTGGCATGTACTGGGTAGAGACCAGAGAAGCTGCTCAACATCCTACAATGCACAGGACAGCCCCTCCCCCAACAAAGCATTATCTGGCTCTAAATGCAAAGTGCCAAGGTTGAGAAACCCTAACTTAGACCATGTTTCTCTGATTGCAAGTTACTGTAAGAACTAGGGTCAAGAAGGTCATGCAAGTTCCGGAGGACCATGGATTTATGTAAATTTCCAAACTGGTAGCATATTGCAGACAATATAAATGGAGTAATTGACACACTCTGTCTTCTGTCCTCCATTCCCACTCCTTCCCACTTCCCTTTGAACATTTTCAGTTCTGTAAGTTTGAGTGACGTCCTGTGGGGATGTTGTAAAAGGATTTCAAGCACTGGAAGGACGTCTGGACAAGGTGACCATTATGGTTTCTCCTAACTATGAAATCTGTCATTCTTTTTTCTCACAGGGAACTTAGTGATAGAAAAATGTCATGTGTGACACGCCTGTAAGACTGAAGAAGAAACGTAAGTTTCTAGTCTCTGTAGTCAAAGTAGTATTTTTAGATGAACCAGAAAAATCCTTCAAAAGCTTTTTCCCAATTTACTGAAGTTTAGAAAAAATTAAAAATTTTTCTACCGTTAGATCCCATGCATCCTGTAAAAACTGGCCTTTTTGGTAACTGGAAAGAAAATTTTTTTTTTTTTTTTTCGGTTAGCCATGAGGGAAGGTCAGATATCACTGAAAAAATACAATCAATCAATGACTCTTTGTTCCCAAGGTTGGCACCTTTAGAAAAGACATCCAACTCTGAAGTCACCTTGATGAGTTCAACAAACAGAATCCTGGAGGACTTAACAAGTCAGTGATGACAGTTCTTCCTGGCTAACAGGCTGTCGGCCTGAAGGAGAGGATTTTGAAGCTTTCTTTTGTGATTCTATGAGTCCAAGGTTAGGTGACCCCTTAAACTTTAACATCTCAGACCAATAGATACCTTACTGAAGATGAGATGCAGAGGGGTACAAAGTAGTTTAAAATATTGTTTTAACTTTGAGGCATTATAATGGCTTATTGTTTCCATTCAGCCAGAAAGAACTTTAGCCTACTTTAACAGGGTGGTCAACTGGATGATCTTAGAGGTGACCTAACACATGCCCGGTGTTGCTCTTCAACCTCACGCCCACCCCCGACAATCACAGAAAAGCCTGTTACTTCCCTTTCCTACCCACCCTTCCAACCACGCAGAATGTTTTCAAATTCTGTTTCTCCCTTTCATTGTACAGAATGCAGAATCAGAACTTGCTCTTAAGGTCCCTGGCTTACACCCAACCCATTCTTAAAGCGTTTCCAGCTTTGGCTAAAATAATTTAAAGGAAATAAAACGAGATAAAATAAAGGTCATGGATGCCACTTGTTTATTTCCTCTGATTACATATCCTGAATTTTCTAATTGTATAGACAGAACTGGTCCTCAGTAGACTCTATATCCACAAGAAGGTCTGATAAACCTGATGTTAGACTTATGTTAGAATTTCACCTATCATACTATTTTCCTCTGGTCTTTTTCTTTGAAGGAGAAGAGGTGGTCTATAAAATTTCTTATTTTATGGCTAAACATTATACCATATTTAGAAATTCCCAACTTAAAAATCCAACTTACAAATGACCCATACATAAGTACAATTCCTAGGGCAGCCTCACTCAACAGCTAGTTTAAACATACGTTTGTTTTCATGGCTGCTGTTTAAAAAAACTCAACAACCAAGAAAAGCAATAGTTTGAACTTTAATTTTTCAACTCTGAATTTGAATTTTAGATGGTAAAATTATATACTTTAAGTCTGACATAAATTCTATAATTGATCATAAATTCTATAAGTTGATCATAATCTTTTGCCTGCTCTTTAGATATCTGGGCTAATCTTAATGTAATAAATATGATTTGGGGTGAGTCATATTGACGTTAACTTTAAAGGGGGAGATATTTTCCTTGGAAACATTTATCGGTGCCAAGAATTTTAAAATACTTGAGTTAGCAATGCTGTGCTACACTCGAGTTGTTAGAGCATGTTGTGAACTGTCCTTTCAAGTTGCCTTTTGTGTAATCATGGACAGCTCCTATTTTTAACTTGGCATAGACAAATAAACAGAAGACCCAAAAAAGTCAACATTATTTTATTTAGTCAATTTCCTTGGCCCCCTAAAACATTAAAAAAAAAATCAGAGCTGCTAATAAATAGCTAAACTTAGGCTTTTTCATATTTAATCTTCGTTTTCCATTCCCAATTATTTTCTAATAGGGATGTTAATAAACAGTGGTTCTCAAACTTGAGTGGCACGTGAATCATCTTGTTGAAACACAAGACTTCTGAGTTTCTGATTCAGTAGGGCTGGGGTGGGGTATAAAAATCTGTATTTCTAACAAGTTTCCGGGTAATGCTGATGCTGCTGGTCCTGAGACCCCACTTTTGAAAACAATTGTGTAAAATCACAGAGTAGCAAAGGAAAGGGAAGGAGAGCCTGCATAATTCATAGACTGGAGAATTAGCCCTTAATTACTAGATGTGTGAAACAATACATTCCAAATAAGGAAATTCAGCAACTGAGTTATTCCCATCGCAAGAAGATTTTCCACTTTACAAGTAGTAATCAACTACAATAAAATTGCTTTAAACAGTGTTTTCTCCTGGTTCATACCTCTTCTTCTAGCTGAAGATTTACTGATCCTGAGCATTTATCATTTTTGAAATATTTTACCATTTTATTGCTGTTTTCTATAATTGCTACAAATGCTTTTGGAGTCAGGCAAAAAATACAAGCAAATCTGTAAAATATATCTTTTCAGATACATCTACATAATACATAATTTCTTAAACAAAAATGATGGGCTGTTTCCATCCTTTTGCTGCAATATATTCCTGAAAATTATACTAAAAAATAGAATGAAGAAAACCAGATTTCTTCCCCCCCACCGCCCTCCGAAGCTTAAGAAAACCAAGAACTTCAAATTGTCCTTTTTGATCACTAGATGGCACTGTCCTGTCAGTAAGTCAAACTGCAGGTACTACCAGAAACTGACCAACAATTGACTCCAAGGTCCAAAGTGGAAAACAGGCATTTTCAATTGGCTTCAAATAAGTGGACTGGCAAAACTGAACAGTGAAAAATCAATGGTTTTAGAAAGTTGTTTAGAAGACTTCAGGACTGTGCAATTAGGCAAATTTCAATTTACATTTCTTCTCCTTTTTTTTTCCTTTCTAGGATGATTCTATCTTGTAATGAAACTGAACCAATTATCTAGTTCCAGAAGTTCAGGCCTTACGTATGACTAACTATAGAAAACTGCTTGTAAAGGAGGTCACAGTGATGCCTTTGGATTGACAGAGAGGCATTTGGTGTCGGGAGACTTGGGTTCTACCCAGATCCATCCATTAATAACACTCAGTAAATCCACTTACTGGCACACAGTGGGTACTCAAAAAATGTCAAATTAGTTTCCCTACATTCTCCTTTCCCCCACTGTAGGCTTCATGATAGTGGGACAGCTCACAAGCACCTAGAAGGCTGTTTGGCATATAGCAAAAGCACATCTAGTAATTGCCGAATGTGTTAAAGGTCAAACAAAAACTAACCAACCACACTATCTGCACGTTAAATGTTTCTTCTAAACAAATGAAATCCAGATTATTATTCCACCTTTTTCCAAACATAGAAAGATACATTAGCTTTTAGGTTTTTAAAGGATTCTTCTGTGTCCAAGGCATTGAGCTAGTATAGATAAATGGTGCGTAGATCCTGTTCTAAAGAAGTTTAGCAGGAGAGATAAAAGTGTACCTGAATTACTATAACAGAGGTAGGAAAAATTCATTGTGTGCAGGGCAGTTGCAAAAGCAGTTCTGGGGAGCTCAGAAAAGGCAGAAATGACCTCCTTCTAGAGAAATCCGGAGAGGTTTAGGTGTGGGAGCAGATGGGAGGGGGAAGGAAATGATCTGCTTTAAAGACCGCACCGGCCAGAACTTGCAGAGGGAGGGCAAAGAAGAGGAAGGCATGCAACTTGACACCTAGACCGTGTGTCGGTAGTGAGTAGAAGATAAGGACACAAAGTTGTGCTAAGGATCTTCACTGATCCTATAAGGATCAGCTTCTGATGAGGGATACTATGCCCCCAGAGCTTCGGAGAGATTTTTTTGGCAGTGCTCCACGGCGAGAGGCAGGAGACAGTTTGAAGGCTAAATAAGCCAGAGCAGATGTGATGAGGGGCCGTAATAGGGTAATGGCATCGGGATGGGTGGGTGGAGGCAACAGTCTTTATGGGGACGACGTTAGTGCTTGGCAGTGCCTTGCGTGTGGAGGATAGGGGAAGGGATCAGAGGCTGAGTAGTTAGAAGGATGCATTCTCAGAGCACGAACTGTAGAAATGCTAAGCTAGAATCCTGAGGAAACGCTCTGCGTAGGGAGGAGGCAGCAGGCTCGAGAGTAGGGCGCTGCGGTTCAAGGGGCAGGGCTTACCGCGCGGTCCCAGGGGCGCGCCCCTCAGCCACCGCTGTTACCGGCCACGCTCTGCCTCCCCCATGTACCTCCTGTGCCTCCTGGCGATGTGGGTACAGCATATCCTCCGGTGCCGGGTGAGAAAACCACCGCAGCCTCCCGGAGGTGAAAGGACCCCCAGCAGAGTACTATGGAAGCAAAGTAAGGAGATATTTGAAAGAAGAGCCGTTCCACAGTGTTAGAAGAAGAATGACGATTGAGCCAGGCGCCCTGCCCCATTTCCCAGTTAGCACTTTTGGGGTGTAAGGAGAGTGGAACTCCAACATGAGGGAGTTTATGGGCCACTTATTTGTGTATTTTTAGTTTGTATCGTAGGGAACTTGAAAGAGTAGTGGGATGGAGGTATTTTAGAATAGGGGAAATGGGACGTCTTTCTTCTCGTCTCCGCCCAAATCTGCCTTCTCATTCCATCAGCCAGGCAGCACCTGGTAGACTGATGAAAGGAATTCCCATGAAGGTGCGATTTCGAGGTAAGACCTAGAAAAGTGTTTGGCACAAAGTAGGTGCTCAGTAATACTTGCTGAATAAATGAATGTATCAAGGCTTAATCAACTGAGAGGATATTTGCATTTTAAAAAGACAGAGGTAAGTAAGATGAATCCCTGATTAGAATCTCTCACTATTTGCCTATCACCATTTCTCAGCGGGGGAGCTATTGGCATTTCTAATAGGAAAAGTCTTCCTGAGTGGCCAATTTTTTCTTGAAGGTTCTGTTCGTTGCTGGAGGTTTAGCCACCCTGCATTTGGAGTACTAAATGCCAGTAGCATCCTGCACCTTGTGACAATCAAAATGCCCCTTTCACACCCTTCCCCCCGCCCCACCCCCGGCCCCCGACATTTTCTTGAGAACCTTGTTTCTAAACCAACCCTCCTGCCAGGCTGCACCCTCCCTCCACAGGACTGTCTGGGTTTTTCTGCCGTCTTTGATCACAGCATCCCAAATTCTGGAAGTGTTTTTTTTTTTTTTTTTTAATAATGAGGCAAAATTGTATGCAGTCGACTACCATCTCTTCTTTCTCCACCCCTTCCTGACCAACTCAACTAACATTCATCTTTTTATTTTCTTTATGATTTCAACACCTCCCTAAAAACACTCACTTGTCAATTAAGCCTTCTGTGGCTTCCCTTGGTATCAAGAAGGCTGCAGACATCTTTCAGCATGTCGTTCTGCTCTGCGTACTGTGTTCCAGCTACATGGACTTTCTGTTTTTTCAAGGAACCATGCATCCTTGTCTTCAGACCTTTGCATACGCTCTTCTCTCTACCTAGAACATTCTTCCCCCTCTTTCTCTTCATATCATCTCATTAATTTATAATTATTCTCAGGTCTTAGCTGGGATGCTCAGTGCTGGAGCTCCTTCTGTAGGCTCCATGGCACTGTGTGTTCTTTTATCATTACTCTTCTTACCATCACCCATTTGGAATTTAGCCATTTACTTGTTTACTAGACTATAAGCACCATGAGGGCAGAACCCGTCTGACTTTTTACTTGTCTCCCGATGTCTAGCACACGGTTTAGAATTGGGCAGGGAATCACTAAATAGTGGTCATATGGGGTTAGTTCCTACCTAGTTTATTTTCTTGTAGGCATGATTCATCTTACCATTAGACTATGGTACAAACCCTGGTGTTCCAGCTTCCTTCACCCTAATCATCAAGCTTTGCATATGATAAAAATCTCAATGAATTTTAAAATAATTAGAAGTAAACAAAAAGAGTGCAATGTCATATGTGGTATACATCTGAAACTTTAAGATAAACTTAACTGAGAAAACAATCTTTCATCATATGTGGACTGTATGTTTGAAAAGTGTTATCAGCTGTTAAAATCTGTGGCACAATGAAAGACAGAAAAAAAGCTGTGATTGAGAAATGCTAAAATTGGTCTAAAGCTCATTTATAATTTGTTAAGCTTTCTGACTTTTACTGCAATTTGGCGGTTTTAAAAATATGAACCCCTATTCAATGTGTAATTTCTTTTCCATATAAATATTTGTATGCTTCATTCATGAATAAACTATTTTGCAAAATTTAGATTGGTAATTCTCTCACACCTATCTAATTATTAGATTAACTGGGAAGTTTCTATCGATATACATTTCTGGACTTTAACCTTGGAGATTTTAATTTAGCTCATCAGGTATTTCTAATGATCAGGGAGAATGTAAATGAAATTAATGCTCATGTCTTTTTGTAAAGTACTTTCCCCTAAGTTTATAATTAAAGAAACTTCTGTTAAGAGTTGCCATTTCCCCATTACCTATTAATTTTTTAGAAACAAAAACAAATGTGAAATCATACATTTCTAAAATCCCTGAATATAACTGATTATTCTTATAAGTTTCAATATTTACCATCTCACTTATACTTGAGTTTATTCTAAAATCTGTTATCCACTTGCATATTAGAACCTTAAGCATAACTCCAAAGTTGTTGATAATTTATAGATAGTTGAACCTACTTGTTATGGGTTAAATTGTGTCTCTCAAAAGAAGATATATTGAAGTCCTAACCCCCAGTACCTCCGAATGTGACCTTACTTGGAAACAGGGTCTTTGCAGATTTAACCAAGTTTGATGTTATTAGTGTGAGCCCTGATCCAACAGGACCAGTGTTTTTATAAAAAAGGGAAATCTGGACACAGACTCAGACATGCACAGAGGGAAGTCGATATGAAGAGACAGGAAGAATGCCACGTGAAGACAGAGGACTGGAGTGTGCACCAAGGCAAGGAATCCTAGAGATTGGTGGTCAACCACCCAACCCCAGGAAGAGGCAAGGAAGGAAACCTGTAGGTTTCAGCCCACACCTTAATTTCAGACTTCTGGCATCTAGAACTGTGAGAAAATAAATTTCTGTTTTAAGCCACCCAGGTTTTGGTACTTTGTTATAGCAGCCCTAACAAACTAACATATGAGTAGACACAACCGTTCACAGTATAATTTGCTCCCACTTAATCTTTAAAATGTAGTTTGATTTTGAAGGACAAGCTTAATTAGTCAAAGGCAAAACTGAGGCCACCACCAGAAAATCTCTTCAAGTGCCCTATTTTGCAGGGTGTTGAAGCCTGTGGACCTCTTCTCAGAATAATGTTTTTAAATTTATAAAATAAAAAACATCGAATTATGAATGAACTCAACTATATTGAAATAGTTATCAAAATTTTTTTTAAAAAACACCAATTTGTGATGCAGTCGTCATGTACTTCATTATCAACACATTAAGTAATAAAATATAGTAGAAAGTCTATTAATGATGAGAAAAATGGTATTTTAAGATACCTATAGTATTATGTGAAAATACCTGTGAAATATATTGTCTAAAGTCACAAGTACTGCTATGCTACTGCAGTGTCTTTCCTACACATAATTTAAAGAAATGTTAAATTTCAGTTAAACATTAGTGAGAACAGGTACGTAATTTATTCCCAGCCATGTCTAAGGACCTTCTGAATTCTATCTATGGACCATTTGGGAGTCGGTAAATCCCAGGTAAAGAACTCTTGGTGAGGAAAGGTTCTCTGACTTTATTTACAATATTATCTCTATTTCCCATTTTGATAGAGTTGGGCTCTACCTGTGTGATAGCTATGTGGGTGCCACTCAACATCTCACTTCTGGTTTATCTCCCTGAACTTCAGAGGAAACCTAGAGACCACATATCATAGACTCCCAGCAGCTAAGGTTCTGAATGTGATTTAGGTTCATTCAACAACCAGCATCTACATGAGGTGTGAAAGAAGGAAGTGAAGCAGAAGCTACATGTCTGCTGTTCTTGCTGGCAAGCATAGATGTGGATGGAGCTGGGTTTTTGCAGATCTTACTCTGGGCTCTAGTGTTCTTCTAGTAGATTCCGTACTAGATTCATGGGTACCAAGATGCAGAGTCCTGGCACATTTCGTTGGTATGCATCCTAGCAAACATGGCATGGTTCTGGAGTTGGCAGCAAAAGTAGCACCCTGATCGTGGCCGTCTCCACACTGCAATTGTGGAAGTGTTGGTTCCTGATCACAGGAGAGGTAGCAGCTCCCTAAGGGCTTAGGCTCTGCTGGATGGATGGCTTTGAAGTCACTGACAGCTCAAAATGGAGTGTTTCCTCAGTCCTTGCCACACGGATGCAATCAACACAATGCCCTGAAATAAATATCTTCCTGCTTTAACTAGCTAGAGTGAATTCTGTGATCTACAACTGAACTCTGACCTGTACGCACTACAATTTCTATTACCTTCTATAAAAAAGCTGTGTCCTGGAGAATTACTTCTGTCAGCATAGCTGCTTTCAAATATTCTTCACTAAAATCTATACTTTCAACTTCAAACACATCAGTGGGCAAAATGCCCACTGTTCTTTGACCAAAAATAAACATACTCAAATTTATATCGTGCAAAGTATTGCAGAAAATACAAAGAAGTGTCCAAGAATTTTGCTTATTCAGTTAGTTAGAATCACTTTTCAAAGGAGCAGTCAGTCACTGCTCAATAAAGTAAGAATACTGAATTGCTAAAGTAAAAATTATGCCTAAATTATATACCTATTTCTCTGTAAATGTACTTTGGCCTGCTTGTTATATCATTTGAGAACTGAATTGGCCTGCTTGTTATATCATTTGAGAACAAAGGGAATTTCTTTTCTAGGATTTAATATTTAACCCTCAAACTAAGCTAGGTGCTATGCTAGTTTTGTAATCTCCTTAGTCAGGAAGTACCATGATGAGGGAACTAGTTGCTTTGCTACTCTGGAGGCCAAAAAGGAAACTACAAATTATCTTTGAAAAGTTTTATTAACAAAATAAACTTGAATTGAAAATTACCTCGATGACTTAGGCAAAATGAAATGGATAAAAAGCATGAAAATTAACTGGTGTGCCAAAGGTCCGCAGGTCCTAAATAGCACGCAAGTGAGAGTTCACTGAAATCCCTAGATTTCATTAGTCAGGTTTCTTCCTGTGTGAGATATAGGAAAAAAAATATTTTCCCTCTTTCATTGTAATTCTGGGATAGAGAGAAGGCAATCTTTCGGAAGTTAGTGCTTTCAATACAGAGAATGTACTTGTAGTTTTTATTTTCACCATTATATAAGAAAGCAGTATGGTTTTGTACCTAATCTCTGTGAACATACATGTGTTTAGTCTCTGGAAGGTGAATGCACGCCTATATGAACAGGATAACTGTCACTTTATCAAAACCCATCTAGCAAACCCTTATAAAGCAGATACATTT